CTCATGTCGACACCAAGGGGATCTGCATCTGCAAGAGCCTTTCTGTCCTTGATTTTGCCGACATTGGGCGTTGCTTCGGGGTTCAGTCCGAGGCCACCAGGAAGCAAGCCCCCGGCTGGAGCACCTGTTGTCGGTGTCATGCCGATATTTCCACCAACACTTGAACGGTGGACCATTTCGTCATCGCTGCTGTCAGAGTCGACACCACCAGCTGCGCCGGTGCCCCATGGCCCGTTGAGAAGCGAGCCCCCTCCACCACCCCCTCCAAAGGGACCAAAGGTGGTGTTGAGATTTCTCTCCCATCCTATGCTGGCGCCACCGCGGCGTCGTCGAGCTGGGGTAGGGGCTTGGTCCTCGACTTCCTCTTCTTCGATATTGGCTGCAGTCAATGGAGGCATGTAATAGTTAACTCTGGTTCGGGCGCGACGAGATTCCTGGTAAACAATGGGTGGTGACTCGTCTCTAGGTCGTCGGCGAGGTCTTGATGATTGCCGAAGTTCACGGGCTTCCTCGTTCAGCTCATCCAAGTCAACGTCGAGCTCTTCGTCACCCGAGTCGGCGCCGCGGCGTGAGTTGCGTGCACTTCGTCTATCTTTTCTCCCTCTTGGTGTGGGACTCTCAATATCCTCGCCCTTTGTTTCTGACATGGCCTCCTCCTCCGAATCGTCGCCGGGCTCAAAGTCACTGCTAGGTTCTTGAGTAGATTTCTTGGAGCGACCACGCCTCAGACGGCGGGAATTTGTACTGGCCTCATGGGTTTCCTCCGCCTTGTCCTCACTCGATGCATTAGCGGCGGCCCGCGATGAACGAGTCCTGCGCGTTATAGGGACATCGTCGTCTTCGTCGTCGTCGTTGTCGTCTGCATCTGCATCTGCACCAGCACCTGCGGCAGTTTCAGGCACAGCCTCGGCTTCCTTCACAGGTTCAGCCACGTCATCCGCAATAACAACAGTCGTGTCCGCCATGTCTTCGTCCTCGTCTTCCTTCTTCTCGACAGGCTTGTAGTCGTGTGAGAGTTCGTCAGGCTCATCTGCATCGTCAGCAGCACGGTTACTGCTTTCTTGAGTCGCCTCATCAATAGTTTCAGGGGCCGCGTGCAATCCTTTCATAGAGCGGGAAGACCGTCGGGTTCTAGAATACGTCTCCGGACTACGGCTTCTGGAGTTGCGAGACGCCACTGCGTGCCTACCAGAGTTGGACAGCTCAACGAAGTCGTCCACATCTGCAGTGCTAGCTCTCGTGGCTCTTCGCGTAGCCCCTGCAGAGGGGCCTTTGGGGACCTTGAGCTTCACAAGTCTTCTAGCTGAGGGCTCATCTAGCTCTTGGGCATCCTGGCCAGCGTCTTCCGAGTCGTTCACCACGTCCTCTGCCTCCTCATCAGCGCTACTCTCCCGATAACTGTGGTGAGTTCTCGCAGCCTTTCTCGTTCGACGGCCAGCGGCGTTCACAGGTGCATCTTGGTCTTCTGACTCATCCTCGGCAAAGGAGTCCTCGCCCAGACTGTCGGACAGGATTTCGTCATCCTCGTCAATGTCGGAGCCTCGATATCTGTGACTTCTCTTGCGACCACCACTAGGGCGAGGGCCACGGGATGGCCTAACCTTCTTGGGATTTCTTGGTGCTCTAGCCTCCGAAGGGTCAAAGTTCTCATCCTCGGAGTCAGACTTGTTCGGGTCGAAGTCCTCCAGCACCCTCTTTCGTTTGCTGACCATTGTAGGAGGCTTTTATTCGATAGCGCAGGATCTAGAGGCTACAGTGAAAGAAGAAAATATATAACGAAAGAAATAAAAGATAAATTCGGACACTGGGAGTAAAAGGATCGAGAATCAACTAGTGGGTGACGGAAGCGTCAGCATTTTCTGCTAATTCCAAGAGAGAAATGAGCCGTAGTCGACTAGCAAAGTTGGTTGGTAAAAGACGAAACGATGACAGTGTTCAATTGGGTACACTCTTCCCCATCATCGACATGTGTTGCGTGGTGATGAGACGAGTTCTAGCCTGATCACTGACCTGGGCTGAATGATGAAAATGCACGGCATGCATGAAGGCCGCCGCGTACAGAGCACCCGGGCAGCTTCAACTAGGGCGATGGGGACGCGCAAGGCCAAATGCAATATGCAATGACGAATGGCGCCTCGAGAAGAAAATCAGATGGTATAGCCGCCACAGCAACCGGCCGGACAAAAGAAACACGACGATGATGCGTGCTAGACAGGACAAAGCCTTCGGGCCAGTCGAGTTTGGTTGACGCTGGATTGGCGCGTCGCGGACAGATAGGCTGGCCAGGCCGGCGGGTCTCACGTGCAGGGAGGCAGCAGCTGGCGAATAAAAGGCCGCCATTATTGTTCGGGACAGGAGAATGCTCCACACAAAGAAGTGCTACCAGGATGAATCCATTCAGCATTTGCAAATGAAGATTTGAATAGCCATGAATGTTTTCGAAATACTGTCATATCGCGGACAAAAGACTCATTTCTCACTATTTCAGACGGTCAAGGTCAAAAACGCGCTCCATTTGGCATTCCCACCGGGTCTTGCAGCCCGTAGAAGACTATTCAATTCCTTGTGCGAACTCCATCACGTCCTCGTCGCAAACTAGATCTAATTGCCCATGATATCTCAACTGCCATGACGCCATTGTCGCGGCTCCGTCCAAGCTCCCGGCTAAGGCTGGTGATGAGCGCTTGTCCCACTGGGTTGCGGACGGGGAGTTTGGCAGGCGTGGAGGATGGGAGTTGGGCTTGGGAGACCAGGCGGCTCAACGGGCTGGGGTCCTCGGGGCAGGAGGCGCAGCAGGCCAGATGGCAGGGCGACTGAGCCACTCGGCGTGGCTGCGGCACGGAGCTGCTCAGCCACTGCCCCAGCCGGGGAGTGGAGATTGCACGGGAATAAGGGCACCGACATTACTGGGAAACCAAGTGTCAAATCGATTTCATGCCACATACTCCATACATCAACATTATACACCACGGCAGCAAGAAGATGTCGTTTACACGGTTTGACCAAGTCATATTCTCGGGTTCCGCGTCCAATGTGGCCATTCTTCTATCGGTGTGGTGCAGTGCCAACCGTGATGCCCTCATTTTCATTTCCAAGATGCGGAAGCCCAAGTGCACCTCGCAACGACAATCGCATACGCAGCGCTCCTGCTGGCCCAGACACGGGAATAAAAGCCTCACGAATTCTGTCCCCCTGCCCGAAAACTGGCAAAGAGCCTCATCTCGCGCTTGCCTCCCCATCCCGGCCCGATGTGCCCGGTCCGCAAGACGTTCGCCAAGACCTCAAACCTTCGGGCTAATGCATTCCACGCAGGGATCAAGACCTTCCAGAAACCTTCCCAGAACGTCATTTCCATTGGCAATGGCCCTGCGAGGGCAACGCAGGGAGTCATAAGTCAGGTGGCATGCACCCTGGACAAAGGCGCACATTCCTTCCCCAGGACATTATGGAGCCCTTGAAGGAGCCCTTGAAGGAGCCATTGAAGAAGCCCTCGGGGGAACGCGGGGTCAAGGCCAGCGAAACGGAATGCCTGAGCATCTTTTCTTTTCCCTTCTCTTATTCTGCTGCCTTGTTTGTGCCCACTCCAGCGCCCATACCCAATCGGCCAGTCCGTCATGTTGGACGCGGCGAGTGACGAAGCACGACGTGCACCTTCAATTGGCCAGCAACCCCGGCATGAGGAGACTGCTGACCTCAGCCCCAGATGCAGGCCGAGTCCATTTGCGGCCATTTGGACAAGAGGCTTGCCGTCCACCTCGTCGCAGTTACGCAAGTCGTGCCGCCATGGAGGGCGGCCGAGTTCTATTATTATCGCGTGCGAGGGCATGCAAACCGGCGTGCTTAAAAAAACCTCTGGCCTCCATCTCCTTTGTAATTTTACTCTTCTCCCACTTGTCCGTTCTTTTTAGTCCGCACATATTTGACGTATGCCAGAGTCTAGATTTTGTTGACTGTGAATGTATATGCGCCCGTTTGTCTCGACTCTCGAGGGTGTACGGCAGTATTGAACCACCACATACCTGCAACCGGCGACCAACTGCATTTTGGTCGTTGGTTGGGCCGAGACCAGCCAAGCCATCGGGTGTTGAGAGTTCAAAGTTGAAACAAATATTGCGCCTTTCGCTCTTGACTTGACACTTTTCTCTTTGCCCTGTGCCTCTGGCTCCTTGCAATACATACATCCATCAACAAGCTGCCCATTGTCACCTTCACCATCATCGTCATGAACAACTCCGGCTCCTCTCGTGCTCCTCCCCCTCCCCCGCTGAACTTGGCCTCCCTCCCGCCAGTCAAGTTCAATCTTGACAAAACCAAGACTGTCGACTCGGAGGTTGTTTCCACCCCTTCCTCCTCCAAGGTACGTGGCCAAAATCACATCACCACCGTCTTTTCCCCTGAGGAAAAAAAGAAGGGAAGGAGAGAGAACCGCGAAGAGGGAATCTAACAGGTGGCAGCGATCTGCGTCCTACTCAAGCTCGGCTTCGACCTTCTCTGGCCAGTCGTCCTCCCAGAAAACATCAAGCAGCTTCATCAAGTCCTCGCCCACCGTCAATGTTCACACCACCTGCGGTCGTCACACCGATCAATACATCTTCGGTGGCCCTTCGCTGAGAGATCTGGCAAAGTCCATCAAGAAAAAGTTTTGAAAGAGTTCCGTTCATATTTGCAGCATTAGCCATGGCATTTTGTTGTATAGTAGATACATAATCGTTGCTGGCCGGTACGGAACGACTTTTATGACTTTATGATGACCACTGAATAATACCAAATGTGTTGGGGGCAATGATGATGATGATGATTGATACCCGTGGGGGACCAATTTACCAAATAGTTGCATTTAATATATGACCCTATACAGATTGTGTAGCCATTGCCTTGCCGTGACATGTTGCGCTTTTATACATATTCATATATACATATATACTGATAATCACCTTTATGCAACACCCGCATCAACTCGGTCTCTTACTCTTGTTCATATTTTACAACCTGGCCGCGGGCTATGAATATCCGCCATCATCGGTCCTCGGCGCAGGATACGTCGACTTGTCCGTCGCGGCATACGTCTTTTTGAACCGATCCAGCACCCTCCTCACCCACAGCTGCAACTCTGCACTCGCAAGCTCATACGCTATTCGTATGCCAAAACCAACTCTGTACGGGCCCATTGTCCCAGCACCCACAGTCTCAATGGACCGTAGAATATTCCGTACCAACTCGCCCCTCGACTGCTCAAACTCTTCCGGCCACTCACACTGTACCAACGCCTCCTGCAGAATCAACAGACATGCCCAATAACCAATGTACATGGACCCCATCCACGACATGTTGTACTGCAGGACAAAGTCGAATGGAGAATCTGGATCCTGCGACGGGATATCGTACGGCAGAGGCGCAATCGTCGTAAACTTGTCGTACCAGGCGTTGAACAGTCTTCGGTACTCAATGGAGCGGAGGGCCAGAGCGGCGATTTCCACATCATCAGGTTGCTGAAACGTGCCCATGGTCTTGGACTCGCGGAGAACAAAGGTTGGTGCTAAAACGCTAGGTATTTCCGCAAGGCGCTCAAAGAACTCGTCAATTACGTGAATAGTGCTGACCAGGTGAGCTGCAGGGTGAATAAGGTGGCGGCCTCCGTCACGGACTACCGGCTTCCATTCTGGGCGGGAGAGGAAACAGCCTTCGCCCGAGGGGAAGAACATGTCACACATGATCTGGCTCGGTCAGATATGTGCATTACAGGCTGTATACTTGAAGAAAAGGGAGGGGGGAAGAACTTACCAAGACGCCTCGAAACGCCAGTATCATCGAGGCATCCCATCCTTCTGAGTGAGCATTTGGTCCCCGTTGTTCTATCAACGTCCCTATTCCTCTAGCGTGCAATAGCCAGGAATCGGATGAATTTGTTCCGGCAAAGAGCTATTGTAGCGTTAGCACCTCCCGTTGTCCAAAGCCAATCTTGTCGAGGCAACTCACCTCGAAAATGCAAAGCAGCATCGCCGCACATAGTGTCTCGGACGTCTTCCACTCCGTTTCGTGCCGCAAACTCGTCTGCAGCTGCCCTAGCGAATGCCCATAGATGGTCCTACTATGTGCTACCATGCTATCATCCTCATTCTCCTTGCCCACCAGGTGCAAGGCCAGGGAGCACATGGCTCCATCCAGCACCGCCTTTACACCCAATTTGTCCATGTCACACCACGACAAAAACCCCGATATGTCAGCCTTGGAGATGTCTGCTTTCACAGAGGCCACGATGGTGCTGACAAACTCTGCCCTGTTGGGACGGGGTGACCTTGATAGCGTTGAGATTGTTGACTCTGACGTAGGAGAAGATGCCCTCGAGGGTCGACTCGCCGACGCCCTCGACGCTGCTGCCGAGAACGGCGATGCCTCCTTGCTCAGCTCCCTACCCTCCCTATTCCCGGTTTTTGTCCGCGGTCGAATTGCATGCTTCCCTGATACAAATTTGATGCCTCGTTCATATCCAGGACAGTCGGCGCCATATTTGCGACAGTTACCACACTCGGGCCGTACCTCATCACACTTGACCCTTCTCCTTCGACATAGCTGGCACCCCGTGCTGCGAGGGACGCCAACCATGTCGCTCTGCCGCGGGCCCGCCGAGCCTTGTACGAGGGTTTTGCAAGATTTGACGGATTTATGGTTAATGTCCAGTATCCCAGGTCAGGTGTCTGGCTGGTGTGGCCTGACGGTTGTCCTCAACGTGAAACCAGACGCTGTGTGACAAACATTGGGGAGGGGGCCCAATGAATGAGTCTGTTTGATGCTCCGACGCCAATATGCCGAGACCGACGACGTTGCAGTTAGTATTGATGCCTAGATAAAACCGTCGACCGGCGTTGCACAGCTGCAGCCCGCTCACTGTGCTCCGTCACCCCGGATGTTGTGTAACCTGACTTGTATGCAAGGTAACGCGACAGAAGCAGGGTAGGGCGTCATCCGTCGTCCCGCAGTACACGAGCTGCAAAGCCAAATTTGCGTCTGACGCGCATGGTGCAGTGCGTCACAAATTCTCATCACGCAAAGGTTGTCAGAATCGGCCTGTAGTTATCCGCCTCTTCAGCTCCTGGAGTCCTGGGACGTGATGCGGGTCACGTGTCGCGGATCGTCATGTAACGGCCATTTCGCTTGCCTACCGTCGCAAAATCCAGATGTGTTGTCATGGCTTGACCAAAGGCTCATTCTGAATGACACGTTATAAACAGGCTCGGGTTGTCTAGACTATCGCTAGATGCAGCCTCTCGCTGGATTTGTCTTTTGTTTTTGTTTTTGTTTTTAATCGGACCAAAGCTACCCTACAATGGTAGTACCCTGCCACCAAACCGTTTGCATCCCACCCACCACGTCGACACTGTCAATCTAATTTCCGTCACACAATGTAAGTAGTATCGGATAATTATCACGGGATCCAGGGTATTGTCGAACTCTAACTCCCATCCGCGTTCAGCACGTCGTGCATCCTCCCTCAATTTGCCAACCCCTGCTGGTCCTGACTGCAGTAATCTTCGACCATGGCGTATTGATTATCGTGCCCTTCGGTTCTGGTCAGGCAGGTTGTTGACGGTTTCGGGGGCTGCTCGTATGGAACTGCAGGTCGACAATTATGAAACATAAAACGGGCGAGAGCACATATTGAAATGGGATATGTTTGGCGAGTGCCCTCCGCCCATTGCTACCCGAGACTAGTCGCTGATGCATACCTTGTGCGTATGCTAGCTTGAGCATATTCTCCGAGCTAAATCTGCCGTCTCGTCCCAGGCGAGCTGCGGTATTCGGGTCGAAAAACATGGGAATAGATGTGGCAAGCAGTGGTAGGCCGACATATCAAGCACCAACAGCTCACACTGTGCTGTATGACCCCGATAGTTCGAATGAGGGCTGGGCCGTATCATGGCACAGGCATCAGTGAGGTTTCTTGACGCTCCTCAAGAGAAGTTGTATATCAACCTACGAGCATGTTCCTCCTTAACATATCGTGCGAGCATTATATCGGCATGAATACGCCCTCACTACTCTCAGCAACCCAAAATTCAAACTACCACGAGACGGCCAAAACTAGACTACGATATTGTACACCATACACGCACAAGTGAATGTTCAAATATATGCTGCCCGTCACAGACTGTAGCGCCCAGTGTGACACCCTAGACCGAGTCGTTCATTTCCCCTCTTGACGGCGTCGGAGAATAATCGCCTCAAAAGCTTCACCAACACGTCTATCGCATCATTCCTGTGTCAAGATTCCTTGCCATACGACTAGCCGCGGCCCTCGCAAGCCACGCTCAAACTCCGGTGGAGTTGCAGAGCCAGCCGCATTACGAATTTACGCCCCTTCTCTGGGATACCCTTTCTTTACGCGGGGGGACCATGGTGCGCAGTGATCCATTGATGGCTTTGATTGCTTGTAATTGCTCGTTCAATTCGACAATGCTATAGACCAACGTGGCCGGCACGGCTGTCGCGGAGTTGCCATGTACATGTTGCGAATGACTCTAGTAGCACTAGTACTATCAAGTGCCAAGCATCCCCCAGGGTTTAATTGACGGTCCATGCAACGGTCCATGCTGCCATTCAGCTCGCATTGAGCCCTGTCGGTGATACCCTGTGGCTGGCGCACTTTCGGATGCTGGCGAGAAGTTGATGTCTTGGTTGCGTACTGGGCAGGCCGTTGTTTGAGATTGACAGCCAAGCATGTTGCACGGACATGAAGAGCCTGGTTTTTCTCTCTTGCAATTTGTGGTACGCGGTACTCCGTAGATGTGTGCAACATGTGGCCCATTACTCAGTACTAATACTACTGGCATTCGGCGAAGACAATCCACCTGAGACTCGAGGCAGGAAGCGGAAACCAAGTCGATGAGTCGACTTTGCACCACCAATCATTGTTACACTACGGACCGTCCACCGAGACGGATCAAACGTGGCAAAAATGCGTACTATTACGTAGCGGCATGTGATAGCGTACTGCTTGTATAGCCCTCAACTTGATCAGTGAGAACATGGCAATGCGCAGGAGTCCATCTCGAATGTCTGAAAAGGCCGAGCAACACGGCGTAGGTGCAAAATATCGGAGATTCCGTGTAATATCACGTCGACATGGGGATTGCAGGCATCTGCTTCTGGAAGTCGATGCACGGAAAATCGAGAGAAGCCCACGGACACAATGCGTATGTACAAGGTGAAGGGATCAAACTTTGCCTCGAAAAAGGCACGGAAGATTATGTCCCGCTTTCAGCCCTCAACGCCATCCTAGTGCGGTGCCTTTGAGTTTAGAGTGCGGCTAATATAGCTAGCGTTTGTTTCGGCCAAATGTTGATTAACGTTCAATGGATAGCGCGCAAGCGCATTGTGGAGGCTATAGTTATCATGGTCCGCTGTGCTGGTTTCATATACCTATGTTTTGTGCGTGTGTAGTCGGCTTGTCGTTGTGTGTATCTATAACGATACGCATTGGCGACGACAAGCCTTGCTTGCTTTACTCCGTAGATCAGACGTGGCTATTCTTTCTTCTCTCCTTTTGTCCTTCACATCGCCAAAATCCCTGCTCCACAAAGCAAAGTGATGTACTGCAGCCGTGATGACGAAAATAGATTAGATGGGGTTAGATCGATCGAAATGGCTTATTTGATGAAGTGCACTGACACCACGCCACGTCATGTGGATTGTATGTACACCTGCCTCTGGCATCGTGAGCGATGCAATTTCGACTGATCGCTGATGTTATTCATGACCAACAAAAGGAACACAAAAGCACAAGTGTCAACGACTCCTCGTATCGCTTCTCGATACAAGGGTGAACTGGGGCGGCTTTCATGTGAGCGAATTGCTTTGCACGGAAATAACATTTGCTCTTCCTCACATGAATACTATCAGGAAGTTGAAAGAGGATCAGTGAGGGGGTGGCACGTGATAATTGGGGTTCTGACCCCCGGGCAATTGGTACGTAGTGGTAGTATTAGACCACTTTGGCGGCGAATGTCGAACGGTCTGACCCAAATAAAGGGTTTCCACAATGCGAACCCTCAATCTCTGTTCTTCCCGTCTTGCCCGATGAATGCTCTCTCCCCGGACGGGGATTGGGAAATTCGATTAACATGGATATCATTGCCAAGGAAACTGATGAGCGATTCTCTGAACAAATCCGACGGAAGGGTTTATATGTTTTATTGCCGTGATGGGCATCCCATCCAGACTTATCATCCCTGTGCTTTGAGGAGCCATCGGGTAAATAGCCTGAGGATGGCTTCTTCATATCATTCTAGAGATAGCAAGGGGTACGAAAAAAAGAGCTCTGGCCAGAAATGATAAAAAGGGATAGGAAACTGGGTATATGAACCAAATGTGGTCAGTAGCACCGCAACTCTTGGACATAATGGGGCATTGTTCCACCCTGGATTGTTCCACCCCTGGGAGCGTGACATTGTTGTTCAGACTGTGTGAATGTAAACAGAAGCTGCTATGTGGTATACGGCAGACGCAGAAATTTTATCTTCTGTTGACGCGATGTGAACAAGCATCCGAAAAAGGGATGGAAAGGAGGCATGTTAAACCGGATCCTAGTAGACAGCGAGTTTCCTGTAGCTCGATCGCTGTCGGTGTGTTCTGTGCTCCATCATCTCGTACCAACCTGCATGTCTTGTTTTCGTGGCTTGCATCGGTTTTGGGTTCCTGCACCGGACCTGATTGATCTGACTTGCCAACTTGTGTCTGGTACACTTTATGTATGCACAGATAAGTACGTACGTAAGTAGTCCAGGTAGTCGTTATTGGTACCAACGTCAAACAAAGACGGAGCAAGTCTTCGAATTGGTCTGGATTCAAGACCCGATCCCGGCCTCAGCTTTTTGCGATCCATCTTTCCTGATACCTGCCTAGGTAGGTAGGTAGGTACATAAGGAGTGCAAATAATAGCAGATCAGCAATCTGCTCCACACTCTGCGGTTCATAAATGCTACCAAGAAATAAAAAAAAATGATGGGGACGGTACTCCTGAACTCGTTCCTCCGATGATTAGCAAAGCCTGTAGTATGGGCCGTGAAGTCGAGGCTGCCGTGACACGGGACTCGGGGCGTAGGCAATAGAACTGCAGGCACAACGGGACACCAGGACAACAGGACCGGGACTTCTGTCTCAGTCGGCACCGGGCCGTCTGGTGTCATCCTCTGTGATTTGGCCACCATATGGTTTCGTGAGAGACGCTGCCGGCACTGACCAAATTCCGGAGCAGGAGAAAGAACAGTTTTCTTGCAAGCGGATTGTGTTCAAACAGTTGGTCCATGATTCTGAAGAACAACCTCAGCATGCGTAGAGAGCCAAGACACAGACGAAGCCCCGTCACGTTGGAAAGAATGAATGAACGGGCCAGAGCTCTGCAGGCATTGTCGACACTTTGTACGTCACATGGCAACGCCAGTTGACGGTTCCACGACAAAGGTTGGAACGCAGTTTTGTACACACTCGAGACAGGGCACTGGCTTGCCGTGGCCGCTGAGTGCGTTTCCGTCTCGTATTGTCTTTCATTGTATGTTGTCTTGTACGGAGGAGATTCGAGCCCTATTATCGTATGTATGTCCTGCTCA